TATTGTAAATGGGAAGGCCTTCTTGATTTTTTTCCAATAGTTCATTGTGTATAGAAACATTACCAGTTTTCATATGTTGGTTTTGTATCCTACAGCTTTATTGAATTTGTTTATCAATTCTAAGAGTTTTTTGGTAAAGTCTTTAGGATTTTCTACATAAGATCTTGCTACTATCTGTAAACGTGTCAATTTGACTTCCTGTTTTACAATTAGGATACCCTTTATTTCTTTCTTTTTCCTCATTGCTCTGGCTAGAACAGACATTTTTCAAAACAAGGCATACAAACGGCAAACAAATATATGAAAAAAATGTTCATTACTGATCATCAGAGAAATGCAAGTTAAAAACACATTGAGGTATAATCTTACTTTAGTTAGGATGGCTACTATCAAGAAGACAAGAAATAACATATGCTGATAAGGATGCAGAGAAAAGAGAACTCTCATACACTGTTGGTGACAATGTAAACTAGTACAGCCAGTAAGGAAAACAGAGCAAAAGTTTTTCAAAAAAGTACAGATAGAGCTACCATATGATCCAGCAATCCCACTACAGGGCATATCCACAGGAAAGGATAGATCAGTATACACTGAGGAGGCATCTGCAATCCCATGATCAGTATACACTGAAGAGGCACCTGCAGTCCCGTGATCAGTATACACTGAAGAGGCACCTGCAGTCCCGTGATCAGTATACACTGAAGAGGCACCTGCAATCCCGTGATCAGTATACAGTGAAGAGGCACCTGCAGTCCCGTGATCAGTATACAGTGAAGAGGCACCTGCAGTCCCGTGATCAGTATACAGTGAAGAGGCACCTGCAGTCCCGTGATCAGTATACAGTGAAGAGGCACCTGCAGTCCCGTGATCAGTATACACTGAAGAGGCACCTGCAGTCCCGTGATCAGTATACACTGAAGAGGCACCTGCAGTCCCGTGATCAGTATACACTGAAGAGGCACCTGCAGTCCCGTGATCAGTATACACTGAAGAGGCACCTGCAGTCCCGTGATCAGTATACACTGAAGAGGCACCTGCAGTCCCGTGATCAGTATACAGTGAAGAGGCACCTGCAGTCCCGTGATCAGTATACAGTGAAGAGGCACCTGCAGTCCCGTGATCAGTATACAGTGAAGAGGCACCTGCAGTCCCGTGATCAGTAAACAGTGAAGAGGCACCTGCAGTCCCGTGATCAGTGTACACTGAAGAGGCACCTGCAGTCCCGTTATCAGTATACACTGAAGAGGCACCTGCAGTCCCGTGATCAGTAAACAGTGAAGAGGCACCTGCAATCCCGTGATCAGTATACACTGAAGAGGCACCTGCAATCCCGTGATCAGTAAACAGTGAAGAGGCACCTGCAATCCCGTGATCAGTATACAGTGAAGAGGCACCTGCAATCCCGTGATCAGTATACACTGAAGAGGCACCTGCAATCCCGTGATCAGTATACACTGAAGAGGCACCTGCAGTCCCGTGATCAGTATACACTGAAGAGGCACCTGCAGTCCCGTGATCAGTATACACTGAAGAGGCACCTGCAATCCCGTGATCAGTATACACTGAAGAGGCACCTGCAATCCCGTGATCAGTATACACTGAAGAGGCACCTGCAGTCCCGTGATCAGTATACACTGAAGAGGCACCTGCAATCCCATGATCAGTATACACTGAAGAGGCACCTGCAATCCCATGATCAGTATACACTGAAGAGGCATCTGCAATCCCATGATCAGTATACATTGAAGAGGCATCTGCAATCCCATGTTTATTGCAGCCCTATTCACGCAGCCAAACTATGGAATCAACCTAGGTGCCCAACAACAGATGACTGGATGAAGAAACTGTAGACTATCTATACAATGGAATACTGATCAACCATCAGAAAGGAAGGAAATCCTGTTATTCATAGCAACATGGATGGCACTGGAGGAAACTGTGTTAAGTGAAATAAGCAAGGGACAGAAAAATAAACACTGTGTGTTCTTACTCATATGTGAAAGCTAAAAATAAGTTAATTTCATAGAAATAAAAAAAGTAGAACCGAGTATAATAGAGGCTGAGAAGGGTAGGGAGAGGATTTTGATAAACAATTGCAAAACTCAAGAAGAGTTTTGATAATACAAAATTACAGCTAGACAGGAGGAATAAGTGTTGGGTGTTTGTTTTGTTTTTTTCTTGAAACGGAGTCTCAGTCACTCAAACTGGAATACAGTGGTACAATCTCAGCTCACTGCAACCCTGCCTCCCGGGTTCAAGCAATTCTTCTTCCATCAGCTTCCTGAGTACCTGGGATTATAGATGGGTGCCACCACTCATGGGCCACCAGGCCTGGCTAATTTTTTTTTTTCTTTCATTCTTAGTAGAGATAGGGTTTCACCATATCAGCCAGGCTGGTCTCAAACTTTTGACCTCAGGTGATCCATCTGCCTCAGCCTCCCAAAGTGCTGGGATTACAGGCTGGAGCCACTGTGCCAGTCCCTAAGTTCTAATGTTCTATAGCACTGTTGAATATCTATATTTAATAATATGTAGTTTCAAATAGATGGAAGGATGATATTCTCAACAAAAATAAGTAATAAATGTTTGAGATGATGGATATGTCAATTATCATGATCTGATACCTATATATTACATATATCAGAACACCACTGTGTACTCCATAAATATGTACAGTTATTTTACATCAATTTTAAAAATAAAATAAAATTTTAAATGCAATACAAAGATACAGTAATCAAAAATGGCATGGTACTGGCATAAAGGTAGACGCATAGAAGTAAACTGATACACTCATGGTCAACTGATCTTTGACAAAAGTGCCAAGGACTCACAATGTGGAATGGACCATCTCTTCAATAAATGGTGTTGGATATCCACATGAAGATGAATAGAATTGTACCCTTATCTCACACCATATACAAAAATCAAAAAGATGAATAGAATTGTACCCTTATCTCACACCATATACAAAAATTAACTCAAAATATAGTAAACACATAAACATAAGACCAGAAACTATAAAACTAATAGAAGAAAGCAGAGGAAAAGCTCCATGACTGGTCTGCACAATCATCCTTTAGATATGACTCCCGCAACACAGTCATATTTAACAAAAGCTAAAATTAACAAGTGCTACTAAACTAAACTAAACTAAACTAAACTAAACATCTGTTTACAGCAAGGTAGCAACCAAAAGAATGAAGAGATTATCTACAAAATGGGAGGAAATGAATGAAAACCATTCATCTGACAAGAAGTTAATATTCAAAGTATATAAGAAATTTCAATAACGCAGCAGCAAAAAATTGCCAAATAACTTGATTTTTAAAATGAGCAAGGCACTTGAATAGACATTTCTAACAAGAAGACATCCAAATTGCCAACAGATGTATGAAAAAAATGCTCAAAATCATTAATCATCAGGGAAATGCCTATGAAAACCACAGTGAGAATCACCTCATACTGTCTGAATGGCTACTATAAAAAGTCAAAAGATAAAAAAATGTGATGAGGATATAGAGAAAAAGGAATGTTCGCTACTGGTGGGAATGTAGATGAGTATAGCCTTTATGGAAAACAGTATGCTGGGGACTGCCGGCACTCAGTATACTTCTTCCTTCCTTATTGCCCACACATGTCTCCTTTCATTTCTTCTCTTCCTTTCTCTTCTAAACTTAAATTTAAAAATAAAACGTTTAAGCCAGAAGCAGGACATTTAGGAGCAGCATCCTCTACTTTGCTGTTAAGCGAACAGTGGAATCTGAGATCCTATGGTCTTCCATTGTTCCATGTTTTTGCTCATGTTTATCATGACCAAGCAGGTGAAATTTTAGAAAATATTATTGAGAGGAGGATATAGTATTTCCCCTGTTACATAATTGTGCTAATCTGGCTATTTAGAGAAGAAAGGAGTCAAACAATTAGGCTTGTATCACTGTTTTCATTCTTGAAAGTTACGACGCGATTCGGGCTTTACTATGATTCTGTAATGCAGCTTTAAGGGTTTAAAACTGATAAAAGAAAATGCAAATTAATGTAGAGAAGTAGACTAACTCAGGTAAGACAGGAAAGATGGTAAGAATGAAGTGGATAATATTATCCTTACCAGATGAAATTACCATTGTTAATATAATATTTCATATCATGGGTAGTAGGGCTGCCCAATCTGGGACTGACCTGTGGGATATTTGAAAGCCTAACATGGATGGTCTCCAAACCCTAGCAATGTCCTATACCAAAATTTGTCATCTTAAACAGTTTTCTACACCTGTACTCTAGTGACGGATTGAATTCACTTTTGTGACATAATCTTTTCACTACAGACACATGAAACAAATATCCATTTTTATTGGAAAAAACTGAAGTTACAATTTGCTTCACCAATGCATTTATTTATATTCTGAGAATCTACATTTTTAAACTGTTATTTTAGGTTCAGGCGTACATGTGCAGGTTTGTGCAGGTAAATTGTGTGTCACAGGAGTTTGGTATACAGATGATTTCTTCCCCCATGTAATAAGCATAGTAACTAATAGGTAATATTTTGATCCCATTTGGTATTATAAATTAGGTAGACATGTTAGAAGAGCTAAAATGTCTATGTCAACATTCTTGCTTTTTTGAAGAAACATTTTTTTCCCTGAATGGATTTAAATTTTCTTACGTATGCATGTATTTGTTCTTCCTTGAAAAAAGGGTGTATGTGTGTGTTTAAAAGGTTCTAAAAGTATTGTACATGTGTTCATTCAAGCATTATTTACAGAGGTCTAAGAGCAGACATTTTAATTCTAGAAAAGGACAGGCAGAAATGATCTTAACTCATTCTTAGATGTGAAATTGTAGAAAGGAACTAGAATAGGTTGAATACACAACTAGATTGGATTGGATGGTTAATATCTTACTTGGAGTCTGTTTAATTGAATGACCTAAAATATAATTATTTTTGCATATTGTACATTCATTTTTGTTAGGAAATCAAGATAAAATAAAACGCAAGGGATTGGGCATGAGGCTTTGTTTTGAAGGAAGTTAATGTATTCCCCACATGAAAAACACAACTGAGAACCTGATCTCTTCCTTAAAAATGTTGTATACCCAAAGCACTCCTAGTAGTTGGGGATATCAGCTAAGCTCTGCCCTATAAAGATGCTGGGAGATTCTGAGTTCCTCCATGCCTGAGATCAATTAGGGACACACATGACAAAGACATGAGTCAATGAATAAAATCATTGACTGTTTGAAGTGAGGGGGGATTGGAGGAAAGCATACATACTTTAAAGCTTGACTAAATTATTTGAGTGATTTTTAAGATGACATTATTTAAAAAGTGAGGACCTTGATATTCTACCACATTGTGGAATTAACATTCGAGTTTATGTCCCTTTAATTCTAAATGTGAACTCACAAACAAGAAGTTTAGGAAAATGTATCTTGACTGGTAGCATTTGGGGACTATATCAAGAGATTTTCATCACTAAGGTATGTGTGTACTGGAGTCAGAAACTATTTATCAGCTGTGAATTGTATGCAGACTATTTAACCCTCCCTATGATTCACTTTCTGTATAAAGAATGCTATGTCGTTTTTATATATTTACTCAGAGGATTTAATGTGGTAATTGGTGTAAAGTACTTAACACAATTTCCAGCATAAGGGAGACATTTATTTAATAGCAGTTGTTTTCTCTTATCACCATTATTATGAGCATCTAGTCACATTTTCTTATCACCAGGTTAGTACTATTTAATTCAGTCCCTGAGGTCATTATTGCTGTTGAAAGACTGTACACCTTAAAAGTACTTTCTGAAGTCCTCTCTTCATATCCTTATTCCTTAGGGTGTAGATGAAGGGATTCAGCATTGGGGCCACCACTGAATACATGACGGTCGAGAGAGTGTCACTCTCAGGCGTATGGGAGGATGAGGGGCTAAAGTAGACGGCAATGGCTGTGCCATAAAACAGCACCACTACTGACAGGTGGCAGCTGCAGGTGGAAGCAGCTCTCTGTTTCCCCTGAGTAGAGGTGATCTTCAGAACAGTGGAGAAGATAAGTCCATAAGATACGAGGATACAGACAAGGGGCGTGAGAGCCAATAGACCTCCTACTACAAAAATGATCATTACGTTGAAGGAGACGGCAGAGCAAGAGAGCTGTAGTAGAGGGTTGAGATCACAGAAGAAATGATGGATGATATTGAAGGCACAGAAGGACAGATGTGCTATTAGGGAAGTATGCAGGAGGGCATGGAGGTAAGTAACAAGCCACAGTCCAGCCACTAGCTGGACACAAAGGCGCAGGTTCATTGTGGCAGTGTAACGTAAGGGGTGGCAAATTGCCACATACCTATCATACGCCATCACACACAGAAGGAGGCCACATACCTATCATACGCCATCACACACAGAAGGAGGCTGTCCATATTCACAAAAGAAACGAAGAAGAAGAGCTGGGTGAGGCAGCCTGCAAAAGAGATAGTCTTGGTGCCAGTCAAGATACTCACTACCATTCGGGGGACAGTAGTCGATGTTAAGCAGATGTCAACGAAGGCCAAGTTACTGAGGAAGAAATACATAGGGGAATGGAGGTGAGAGTCAAAGCCCGTCGTCATGATGATGAACACGTTCCCCAAGGTGGCGAGCAGGTACATGCAGAGAAAGAGCGCAGACAGGAGGTGCTGCTGCTCCGCTGAGCTGGGGAGTCCCAGAAGGACAAATTCCCTGATGATGGTTAGATTTCTTTCTTCCATGTTCCCAAAAAATCTAGAAAAAGAAATTATTAAATTGTAAAAGCCAGAAGTGTCAAGTCCCTAATTCGAGAGAGAAAGAGAGAGAGAGAGAGAGAGAGAGAGAGAGAGAGCGAGCGAGCGCATGCAGGTTAGTACAATCCAAACTCTTGCTTGCTTGAATGCTTGCCAGTTACATCTTGTGTTTATGGTATTCTGTCTGCATAGTCACATAGATATGGTGGACATGTCAGTATCAACTTCTTTCAAGATTGATTTCTTCCCCCAAAAGAAAGTGCAGATTATATGAATAATAACCATTTTTATTTGGGTTAATTATTTTGTTTTGTCTATAGTAATCACATAATTCATATCGACTTTATATATAAGATTGTTTTTTTCTCTTGGCGTTTTTTGTTTTCTTTTGATGGAGTCTAACCCTGTTGCCCAGGCTGGAGTGCAGTGGTGAGATCTCGGCTCACTGCAACCTCTGCCTCCTGGGTTCAAGCGATTCTCCTGCCTCAGCCTCCCGAGTAGCTGTTACTACAGGTGCACACCACCATGCCAGGTAATTTTTTGCATTTTAGTAGAGATGGGGTTTCACCATGGCCAGGATGGTCTCTATCTCCTGACCTCATGATCTGCCCGCCTCCATCTCCCTAAGTGCTGGGATTATAGGTGTGAGCCATTGTGCCAGACCAGTTGTCATTTTTTAGTAGTCAAGCTATTTACTCTTATCCAGTAGAAATATGTACCTTTAACAAATAATTTTCCTTTCAATCTGATGCTTATACTTGTGATGGAGGATATCCTCATGTTAGCTTTCTTTCCTTGTAATGTATTTGGTCACTGATAACTGCCAGCTTACCTCTGTTCCTTGAATACACTGTTGCTGTTTTGGTCTCTGCTCATCGTTTGGTGGAGCCTCTGACTTGTGTAGTAAGTCATCGAGAGCCCAGTGCTTGTGGTCTGTGCTTTCAGGACCCTTCCTTATAGCATCTTGGGTGTACCTCGTTATCTAGAAGATACCAGTATCCTCCCATACCTATCAACATTTTTTATAGAATGTCTTGCTTCTTGACATCCCACGCTGTACTCTTCAAATTCTCACTTCTGCATCAATCCAGTTTATACCTTCATTTTAATTATAAAAATTATCAAATTACACAGATTGTTTTATAACAAAAAGCACGCAAACATACATCATTTATGTAACCCCTTCAGCAAACGTTTATTGAGCAAATTCTATGATCCAGGTGCTGGGCACAACTTATTTAGGACCAAGGTATTTTTCTGACTGAAGCTAAATTTGTGATATCGTCCCAAACATTCTCTTTGACATCTGAGGCCTTTCTGGTTTTTTCAAACCTATATTATTTCAGTTTGTGTTGTTTTAAGCCATATGCTGTGAAGTAAAGGGCATGGTTTAGAAATGGGAAGGGATTTGAGATTTTTAGTCCAAGTATCATTATTTTCTCACAGTGTTCCAAGAGTTTTTCTAGGACTTCTATGTTATTGATTTTTATGACAAGGATCCTAATGAACATAATTTAAAAAATATTTCTCTATAGAACTTGTGTTATATATATTTATTAGAAAACTTTTTTTATATTTCGAGATTATCCCAAATTGATAATATATGTGTTACTTATTTGTTTAGAATTATTTACTTAAGCATTACTAAATTATTGTATCCCACCAGATGTATTATTATATATTAATAAAGAAAACATCTCCTTCAAGACATAGTCATACACGCATGCTCAGAACAGGGTTGTAGGATCAATGCCTAATGGAGGCTACTCAAGATGCCTCATTTTCTTTTTTTACCCATCATTCCTGCCATAAAATAATATAATGTAGCACTGCAAAATATACATGTTCTGGTTTTTTTTTTTTTTTTTTTTGAGACGGAGTTTCGCTCTTGTTACCTAGGCTGGAGTGGAATCGCACGATCTCGGCTCACCGCAATTCTCCTGCCTCAGACTCGTGAGTAGCTAGAATTACAGGCATGCGCCACCACGCCCAGCTAATTTTTTTTGGTATTTTTTAGTAGAGACGGAGTTTCACCATGTTGACCAGGATGGTCTCGATCTCTTGACCTCGATCTCTGGACCATCTCTTGATGCTCCACCCTCCTCAGCCTCCCAAAGTGCTGGGATTACAGGCTTGAGCCACCGCACCCGGCCAGTATGTTTGCTTCTATTACAATATTTTGAATTCCAACTTAATCAGAAACGTCTCTAACACTAATGGTTACATTCATCTTCCTCTGGTTGCTGTCAACTTAAATTCCGTGCATCTTCTCTTGCCCAGCTTGAAGCATGTCAGGATAAAAATGTACTGAGAAGAAACTACACACTCTTGTACTTGCATGCCTTTGAGGGAGAAGCACTGTTTCAAAGACAGTTTCCTTCTCCTGTAGGCACTATCAGTTATATTATTTTTATTAATCTCATACTCTGTACAATATTCCTTTCATGACAAGCATAACAATTCCCCTTTTTCTTGGTCTATTTCATTGTAATCAGTGAAATGTTAAGGAAATAATTGTTATTTATTATATTGAATTCTTAGGTTCTAACACATTTAGGCATGCAGTTTTGCATGGAGTTGGTGTGAAAGAGTGCTCATGGAAATAACGTTCTGGAGAAGCCATTTGAATATACAATGCATACATGAATTTCAGAAGGTATTTTTAAATTCTGTATTCTTATTTGCAGCATATCTTCTTAACTTCAAAATGTTCTCAACTAGGATTTGAAAAAGTTAGTCCACCACTGAAATGCTTAACAGCTTCATTAAAAGACTTTCATACATTACAACTCAGAGGATTATACATTAGGTTTGTCTTCACTAAAACCAAGAAAAAAATGTGTGAATACATACCCTTTCCTGAGACCTTTTGCCATCTATGGTTTTTCTCCGTCCTGAATATCCAGTCACAAAAACAGATGGACCTATGCATTGATTCAGATTTCTAGTCAAGAGTGAAAAAGAGAAGAATGAGCTACAGACAAGTGTGTTTCTCTCAACAAAGAATAACAGTATGTCGCAAGGGGAATATTTGCTGAGATCAATTTATTTTTATAATACAAAGGGGCAGGGCTTTAACATGGTACAATTTTATCCCTTGAGTTGAGCACCCAAGAGGCTTCATGAAGTTCTGAATTTAGCTTCTAATGACTTTTATTTAGTTTACAAATTACTTTTTCTCTTATTTTGAAGAGAAGACAAACACAGGGTAAAATATTGTTTATAGGAAGAAAGCATGAAAGCTCATGAAGTTTCCAAGATACATTCTTGTTTTCTTTACTGGGTGCTTGGGTGAATGAAAGATACAAAAAGATGGAAGACTGAAGCCACAATTTTACAAACATATCAATGCCATCTCAATAAAACTTAAAGCGTATCGTGTCTTCCCAGTGCTAAAGAGAGATATAGAGATACACTTTTGGAGTAAGACACATTTCAGTTCAAATCTTAATTTGTAAATTAATTAATAGTTGCTTGATCTTGCACAAGGCATTATATTTTGTATACTTTAGTTTTTTCATCTATAAAAATATAAATACTACTAATCTCTTAGTTGCTATAAAAACACTATAATCTGTATATAAAAACCTAGTATTGTGCATAGACCCAGAGGTTATCCTGAAGCCTCTGGTCATCTAATGAATTAATGGCTGAGATAATCAAATATTTGCAAACAAGAATGAAAATCAACAGAGAATCTCTTTGGAAATGAGATTTTTCACTGTACATTAGGTAAAGATTATGTGTGTGGGTGATTGTGGATAGACAGATAGGTAGACAAACAGTTAGATAGTTTTAAATCATACCATGAGCTACATTGTTACTCCACAGGGCTATATAACTTAATTCAAAGACTACAGCTAAACCAACCAATATTATTTCAAAACATTTGAAACATATGCCCATTTAGCTGAATCCAAAGATGTATTTATTCTTCTTTATTGAAACTGATATTTTATTAAACACATAGGTTTTGGTTTAATGTAGTTAGGTAAATATAGGAAGCGTCTACAATTACAAACATTCAAATAACCTTAATGTATGCTATACATGTATATAGACATATGTATGTATGTGGACACACACACATATATAATGCAAGGTATACATGGCGTATTATATACATATACAATTTGTGTATGTGTGTATAAGTGTACATTTATATTTACAAATACATTTATACTTTTTTTTCTAATATGGGGAAGACCTCTATATTATCAATTGAAAGAAAAGAAAAGAATGGAGATTCATTTACATTGATGTTTAGTGATAATGTATGTTTCAAATTTCATACAATGTGGATAACTTAACAGCTTTTGTAAAATTCTTTTATAACATAAGTGTTAAGTATTAGACTCTTGCAGAAGATCCATGAGCTACCAAAAACACTTTAGATTTAGAAATCTGGAAAGGAGCAAAACAGGGATGATCTGTTAATAATTATCATGTGTGGTGCACTATGAAGTGGCAATGCATCCTCTTAGGTAATACCTAAAACAGCTTTGAGACAATTAATTTTCCTTTTAGAGAGAAAGAAACAACACTTAGAGAAGTTAAGAAGCGTGTAAGAAGTATGTAAGAATGGAGGAACCCTGAATATGGTCTGTGTTTGCATGTTCTGTCTATTTGTACATGATAAATCTTTTAAAAAACACCCATGTAATAGTTGCTTATATTCAAGAAGACAAAATATATTTGTGTCTCTGCAAAACAAAATTTGATTTACCTTAACTCATGCCTATGAAGAGATGGGGTGAATGGTAAACTTCATGTTAACAATATGATATGCAAACAAAACTCCAGTTTTTGCTCATTTCTATCCAATGTGTGTGTGTGTGTGTGTGTGTGTGTGTGTGTGGGTGTGTGGCCACAGCTCAGGCCAAAAAGGAAAAATAAGCTATAGTAATTAAAACATATGGCATAAAAACAGACACATACACCAGTTGAACAGCGGAGAGATCCCAGGGGGTTAATGCAAGCATATATGGTCAACTAA